AATTTACCGAACTTTATTATATGGTCTAAATCTCAAACTCACATCTTGATTCGTAAGAGACTCACATAATCATCAAATTATAGATTCGGTAATTTAATGTATTAAACTCATAATAAAATCAACACATATATAAATAAATCACATAAATCTTAAATTAAAAAAATAAAGGATCACAAGTAGACTAAATCGTTTTTCTTAATATAAAAATTAGTTATTCATATTGCAAAAATAAAAACACGCGAAAGTTGATGAAACGTGAAAATTTTTGGTATTTGTCTTTCTTACTTTCTTTTCTTTTTCTTTTTCTTTTTCCTTTTCTCCTCTGCCTTTCTTCTTCTTTTCTCTCTCTCTCTCTCGTCTTTCTTTTTCTTTTTCTCCTCTACCTTTTTCTTCTTTTCCCTAGTTTCTTTCCGCCCCCCCCCCCCTGCCTTGTGTATTAATATTTCTTTCCAAGGTTTCATTTTGAATTTTGCTATTTTTTGCCACTTTTGCATTCTTTTCTCTAATTCTTTATAAAATATAAAGTTTTACGTACAAAACACAATATAATATCAATTAGGTAGAATTTAATCCAAAAGATAATAAAATATCATAATTTATGGCCACGAATAAGTGTATAAACTGCACTTATCACATCCCCAAACTTAAACCTTTGTGTGTCCTCAAACAAAGTTTAAATCTAACAAACGCACAAACAAGCAATGTTAATTACATAATTAGTAGGCAGTCAATCAAGTAAAGCAACAAGATTTAATTAGTTAACCTGACTTTTCATCTAGGGATTGAACTCATAATAACAAATCCATTCACAACTTCAAAATTTCAATACAAAAATCAAAATCCACTTTTCCATTGTAAAATCGACGTGTGTGTGTGAAGAATTAAGTATCGTATTATGAATTCATAAGATTTTCAATGTCCAACCCTCAAAAGTCAAATATGTTATTTCATCACTCGTAAGATTCACACATCCCCAAACTTGTTCTTTTCACTCTTTTCCAACGTGTGAATTAAGGTTTGATTTTTTTACTATCATCACCTCTCTAGTTCGGCAAAGTTTCATCAATTGCAGTTCAATTTTC